GTCAAAGGCGACTGTGGGGTGTGGTGCTCATCTCACTTTCAGACTGAGGGAACCAGCGTTTGTCCGCATACAGCTTTCTGGGTCATGTGGCCCACAGAATAAACCACTTTGGTGCAACGGGACACACTGACAGAAGCAAGAGCGCACGGAAACACCATTTACCTTCCCGCCAGAGAGGTACCTATTCAATCTACTTGCACTGGCGTGCTTTTGAACTGCTAGGGTTGGCAGGAGCTGGGACAGAGCAATAAGAGCTCACCCCGTTGAGCGGATTCGAACCGCTAACCTTCTGATCTGCAAGCTCAAGAGGCTCAGTGGTTTAGACCACAGCACCACCTGCGTCCCTTGGGTCCCTAGCGCCGCATCAGTGCATGGTTGTGTGCAGATAGATCACATGTACTGTAAATGTACCTGCATTGGCCTGGCCAACTGTACAGTTTCTCTGTGAAGATGTCATGTCACAGCTGAAGTGGAATGGGCAACGTGAAAGTTATTATGTAATGAGTAGGATGTATAAAAAGCTGTACAAAACCCGTGATCGGTGCAGCGCCCATTGCTTTAGAGGACTGTCCTTAACTGTAGTGAAGTCCATAAAGAAGGCTATCATCTTGCTTGGATATTGGGTGTGTTTTTTAGTTCCCTGCCTGGGCAAACCAAGGGCGTGATTTTGGCCACCCCTGTGACACTTTGATTCTGGACCTGCTGCTGGATCTGAAAGTGGCGCCTGCTTCCCAGATCATCGCAGACTTCTGTTGTGGGGTGTGTGTGTGTGTGTGGGGGGAACCATAGGTGCCAGCTTCCTCGGGACCTGGGTGCCCAAGCACCCACAAAATTCCCCATGAGGGAGCCGGGTACGCACAAATTTCGGCTCCAGGGCCATGCACGGTGCATGGCACCCACAGCCCTGGGCACCCATGGTCGTGGGGCAAAGCTGACACTCCTGGTGGAAATTGGCTGGTTTGATGGGTGGGGTCCACACTGTTCCCCCTTGGCTCCTTCCACTTCATTGCAGCTCTCCTATTCCCCTCTCCTGCTCTGCTTCCTCCAATACAGTCCCCACTTCCTAAATCACTGCTTTACATTCCTCCATGGGAATGAATGGTAGCCATTGACCGGTGCAGGAAGCAAGGAGGGTACCCCTCTCATGCCCCACCAGTGTGGCACCCCAATATGTTACTGGCCCCTCTCCAGCACGACAAGAGCTGGCTTCTTTTGTCCTGCAGGAGGTGTGCACAATGCAGCCCACCTTTCAGAAAAAAGCTTTGTGCCTTTGGGAGTTTCTTCCTTCACTTAACAAAAAGGAGCATTGATTTATTTCCTCTCCATCTCTCTCCCTCCGCTCATCTCGCCCACAGACTTGCGGACAACCTGCTTCACTAAACATCACTAAAGCTCTGCCACAGCTGACCTTGGCTGGCGCAGCCTTCCCATCGATTTCAACGCAGTGATGCTGATCTATACCAGCAGCCAGGGAGCGGGGCCTGCTTCTCTCTGGGCACGACTCATTTGCTTTGGAGGGTATGTGTGTATGTCTTCTGAGCTCAGGCTTCAATTGCTGGCTCTCTGGTTTTAGCAGGGGGATTTCGGTATTGCATGGAAACTACCCTCATCATATAAGGGTTGTGGGAACTCTCAAGGAGGGGAGCTCAGAGGCAGCACAGTCCCTTTGCCTTGAGGAGTAAAGGTAAAGGTACCCCTGACAATTAGTTCAGTCACAAGATGGAAAAGATTTCCATCAAGACCCTCATCTTGCCCCTTTTGCTTTCAGATGACATATTCATGATGGCTTCATGTCTGCAGGTCCAGAGGAAGTCTGAGGAGGAGGAGGAGGAGGCAGAAGCTGTAATCAGGATACAACCTAAGAGGTATCCGTTTAAATCTTAAAGGCTAGCAAGGTTAAAGGTACAGGGATGGTCTAGGAACCTGGCAATCCCTTGCTGTTTAAATCCCATGGAAACCCCTTTCTGCAAGCTGTGTTGCGCCCAACTTTCCAACAACATTCTCACTTTATGACTAAATGTCCTGAAAAGGGCTAAGAGGTGTATTTGAAGAGGAGTGAAATAGCCTGGGATTCTTCCCTGTTACTTCGAAAGAAAGAAAGAAAGAAAGAAAGAAAGAAAGAAAGAAAGAAAGAAGAAAGAGAGAGAATAGAAGCACCCAAAGACACATACAATTTCCAGGAAAAAAGCTTCCATTGTTATTGGAAGCAAAATCTGGGAGTTGAGCAGGGGAAGAGGGGAAGGATGGTTTTCATATAAAACAGCTGAAGCAAAATTTAACAATAGGTGGTTGAATAAAAACAGGCTGAATTTTCAGGAACTTCTCCATCTTTCCCCAGCCCAAAGCTAAAGCAAGGATTTCTTGACTGTGATATTGTTAAGGAAAGATTAATTTTTAAAAGTGGCAAGCTGTATCGGTTTTGTTCTCTAAGCTGACAGCAGGCAGGCATGTTGGAAGTTTAAACTGAGTGTTGAACAATACTGTTTTCTCATTTTTATCTCTTTTTTCTTTGCTACCTGAAAGTGCTGCAAGTGGAAAGCTGTTCCCTTGAGAGTTTTATTGGCGTTACAATATTACTCCTCTCTTAACCCATTTAACCCTGTCACCCTATCTTGGGCCAGATGATTTAACTCATGCACCTGTATGATTGCATTTATTAATCCAGAGCAGAGGGAGAAAGGTGCGCCCAAAGGTAGGCAAGAAAAATCCCCAAACAGCATCCTCTTCCGGTGCTGCTCTTAAACCTCACATGGCTCAGTGGGGCTTTTGACCATCTCTGGGCCCTGACTGCACTTGCCAAGTGCTGGGGTTGCCAGTGTTTGCAGTCCTGCTCCCATCACCCCGCCCCCCCGTTTCCACATAAATCACACAAATCTTTCTAAGCACCACAACCTCTTCCTCTGCTGCTGTAAACTGAGCAGGCTAAAAGCCCTCGCCTTCAGCTAATGAACTGCCTGGCTGTGCCACCTGTCCAGAGCATGTAAATTGATGCAAATCTGCCCATTTCACACGATTTATCCCACCTTCCTGAAATCAGCCTGAAACAGTTTGAGAGAGGCTGGGAAATAACTGATAGCAGAACTTTCACACATTGCAACATTAGGGCAGCCCAGTTTCCGGAGGGAAGCAATGAGAGAGGCATTAGCGGACTATTTCCAGGTAGGTGTGGGAAACCAATCTTGTTAGATCTTAATGTGAGACTTGCCAGAGGTGCCGTATTCAGCATTAACAGAAAGATAATCAGTTTCTTTTCTTCGGGTAAACAAGCCACCTGCCCTTTGGACAAATATTATCCACCCACCGCTGAGGCTTAGGACCAGTTTATATACTCAGCAGAATTAAGCTGTATGCTCCCCCCCCCAATTTTACCTTTTCAGGCTCTGGGTGCAGACAGATTGCCTGCTTACCATGGAAGTTCGGGTGCAACTCAGACAGGGGTGTACCTAGAGGTTGGCAAAAGCTGCTGGGGGAGCAAATATCACCCCAGAAATCTATCTCCAATTATCTGTGTAAGGTGCTGAGTTTAAATAAGAGCTGGGAGCTGAGTGTTAGGAGAAATGGCAAGTCAATATGAAGGTAGGCTGCTGGAGACTATGGAGTGTGCAACATAAATGTGTGTGGCGATGGGATGCCGCTGTCGCAGTGAGATTGAATGTAGGAGAAGCTCCCCACCCTTCTTGCACTCTGGACCAAAGGTGTGCATATTTTCACCTTTCCTCCTCGCCTTGCCCTCACCCTGAATGCTTTGAGTACTTCTGTCAAATGTAGTGATTTATAATGCGGCTATTGCAGTAAAGTGACTTTTTCAGGGTGGGGGTGCTAATACAGCTCTTTGCCAAGGACACAAGGGACCCTAGGTATGTCCCTCAACTCAGCTTGCCAAAGTGGGGAGGTCTTCCATGGGTTAACAAGACAGATAGAGTTAGGGGCCTCCAGATTCCCAGACTGCCCCTGTGTCTTTTAACCTCTTGAGCTGACCTCTCTGTCTCTTTTGATGGGAAGATGGATATTCTCAGGTTTTATGCTGTTTTACAACTTCCTGCTCCTCTCACACGACTCTCTCAGACCCCAAGATGAGAGGCCATGCTGGAACTCAAAAAAGGATATTGCAAAGTTGAGAAAAAGGAGAAAGTTGAGAAAAGGCAGCCAGAAAGGATGGAGCAACTCACCTATGCAGAAAGGTTGCCACATTTGGGACTTTATAGTTTAGAGAGAAGGCAAGTTTATGGCGTAGAGGAAATGAGTAAGGAAAAGTTGTCCTCCCCCTCTCATTAACACTAGAACTCCAGGATATCCAACGAATCTGAACGTTGGACTATTCAGGACAGACGAAAGAAAGTCCATTTTCAATGCAGCACATAGTTCTCCCACAGGAGGCTGCGATGGCCACCAACATATATGGCTTTAAAAGAGGCTTGGAAAAAGTCATGGGGGGGGGCTATTTAGGGCTAGTAGCCACAATAGCACAGGACGTGGGTGGCGCTGTGGGTTAAACCACAGAGCCTAGGGCTTGCCGATCAGAAGGTCGATAGTTCGAATCCCCGTGACGGGGTGAGCTCCCGTTGCTCGGTCCCTGCTCCTGCCAACCTAGCAGTTAGGAAGCACGTCAAAGTGCAAGTAGATAAATATGTACCACTCCGGTGGGAAGGTAAACGGCATTTCCGTGCGCTTCTCTGGTTCGCCAGAAGCGGCTTCATTATGCTGGCCACATGACCCGGAAGCTGTACGCCAGCTCCCTCGGCCAGTAAAGCGAGATGAGCACCGCAACCCCAGAGTCGGCTACGACTGGACCTAATGGTCAGGGGTCCCTTTACCTTTTACCAGCCACAATGGCTCTGCTCTGCCTCTATGGTCTCAGGCAGAAATGCTTCTGAACACCAACTGCTGGGGAACTACAGAACGTGAGAGTGCTCTTGTGCTTGGGTTCTGCTTCCAGGTTTCTCACAGGGATATGGTTGTGAGAGCACTGTGAGATACTCGACTCGTTTGGCTTGATCCAGCAGACACTTCTTACGTTCTGAATAGGCAGCAAGGATTCTGGCAATGCTGCCGGCAGGTGAATGACTGAAGCCAAGCAGCGCCCTCTGCTGCCTCGTCCTCCATCCTGCACCCAAGGCCCAGGGCTTTGCTGCTTGGCAACGCGGCAGAGGCATCAGATTAACAGACATCTCCCAGTGAAAATGTGCTGCGGTCCATGGGGAGAGTAAATGTGCAGAGCTTGGTGGAAAGAGGTGACACGTCAGGAAGGTGAATATCATGGGAGGACAACATTTGCACTCGTAATAGGATAGCAAATGGTGCTTTTGATATGGTGTGTGGGAGAGAGAGGGGAAGCTGGTGCTGAACTTGCAGATGCAGATTCTTTAGCCGAATTTAAAGATTATGGTTTAGGATGGAACTTTGCAGTGGGGCCTGGCCCTGTCGCTTCCAGATTTCGAGAGGCTCGTCATTCTTCTTTAATGAGAGGTATCTGGTGTGGAAGCTGCTTGGGGTAGAAGCGTGGGCTGGCAGGATGCCCCTTCCAGAGTCATGTCCCTGTGGCTCCAGAATGCAGCCAACCTCTCCCTTTTATGAATAGAAGGCGAGTTCCTGTTGGCCAAAGCAACAAGGAACCCATCCCACTGGCAGCCATCTCTGTGGCTGGCAAAATGATGCTGTTTTTGGCATCCGTCTGTGGAGAGCAGGCAGCCACCCCACCCCTGCCTTTGGAAGCCTCATAATACGTTGTTGCAGAAGAGGGACTGTGAGCATCTTTACAGGAGGTGGGTTTCCAGGACCAGGTGAAACTGACAAGCCCCCTTGTTATTTTCCCTATTGCCAGGAGGCGTGATATTGTTAAGCATAATGTCGCTGCATTTATAGCACTGAAATCTTCCTTTTCGGCTGCTGTTACATTTGCTGCTGCTTTGCCGTTTCAGGATGCTTGCTATTAAACTGCTCTTGCATTGCTGGTTTTGAGATTTCTCTCTGTCCCCTTTGTTGTCAGCCACCGGGAGCATAATCTGAGGAGAGGTTTTGTGGAAAGGCGGCATATAAATTTACTTGTTTTCATAAAATCTATCTGCCGCTTGGTGATCAAAAAACAACAAAGCGGTTTATGAAAAGACCGAAGCACTAAAATCATCAATAAAAAGAGTTTAAAACATTCATATAAAACTTGAAATCAGTAAAAAAAAAACTTAAAAAAACAACAACAGGCTTGTCTAACCAAAGATGTTTTTAGCAGGTGCTGGAAAGAGTGGAGGCACCTGCCTGATGGCAATAGACAGCGGATTAAATGGTGATGGAGAAGGTGAGGATGAAAAGGAACTGCTGCGCTTGTGGGAATCAGAGCAGTCATGGAGGCATTCAGGCAACTTCCACCTCTGCCTGATTCCTGCTCTGTTGGTTGCCAACTATCTAACCCATGGGTAGGCAAACTAAGGCCGGGGGCCAGATCCGGCCCAATCACCTTCTAAATCCGGCCTGTGGACAGTCCGGGAATCAGTGTGTTTTTACATAAGTAGAATGTGTCCTTTTATTTAAAATGCATCTCTGGGTTATTTGTGGGGCATAGGAATTGGTTCATTATTAATTTTTTCAAAATATAGTATGGCCCCCCACAAGGTCTGAGGGACAGTGGACCGGCCCCCTGCTGAAAAAGTCTGCTGAGCCCTGATTCTAACCTATCTGCTTAGCCTTCCTGAACAAGGTCAGATGGCCTGCTGGGGAAAGCAATGGATGGCCATCATCTTGGGCACACCTGCCTTGCACAAACTCTGCCTTGTCCACAGAAGATGCCTGGTGTGAGGACAATCTGTTCCCTCAGGCAGGCGCCCCCCCCCATCTCATGCTGTTCTGGGAACTCCCTTCCATTCATGCTATATAGGAACCAAAGCCCCTCTCTTTCCTAACACAAGAACAATACTTGCCTTGTCTTTAGATGAAGCACCTGATCTTTTTTCTCTCATGGGTGAACAAGCATGAGGTGCCACCATGGCTTTGCCTCCAGTGCAGTTATTCAAGGTAAGAAAGCTCTGTCCCCCTTTGTACCTGCTCTCTCCTTGTCTTCTGCTGCTCTTACTGAAGAAAAAACTGGGGAAGGGAGAAAGGAACCCCCAATAAAACCAGCAGTGCTGCTTCTGCTTAGATCTGTTTAGACAAGGGTGCCGTGGACCAGCTGAAGTCTGGGATTTGGGCAAGCCTCAGGTCTTTTGAGCCATCTCCTCCTAACTGAGCACATGCATGGCAGAAACTAGATAGAATTATAGAACTATAAATCTGCAAGGGACTCCATGGGCCATCTCCTCAAACCCCTGCAATGCAGGAATCTCAACTAAAACATCCACGGCAGATGGCCATCCAACCTCTGCTTAAAAACCTCCAATGAAGGAGAGCCCACAACCATCCACTGTTGAACAGCTCATACTGTCAGAAAGTTCTTCCTGATATTTAGTCAGAATCTCCTTTCTTGTAACTTGAATCCATTGATTCGGGCCCTACCTCTGGAGCAGGAGAACAGAAGCTTGCTCCACCTTCCATGTCACAACCCATCAGATATTTGAAGAGGGCTCTCATATCCCCGCTCAGTCTTTTTTCTCCAGGCTAAACATACCCAACTCTCTCAACCATTCCTCATAAGGCTTGGTTCCCAGGTCTTTGATAATTTTGGTTACTCTTCTGTGCACATGTTTCAGCTTCTCAGTAAAGGTAAAGGTAAAGGGACCCCTGACCATTAGGTCCAGTTGTGGACAACTCTGGGGTTGCGGCGCTCATCTCGCTTTATTGGCCGAGGGAGCCGGCGTACAGCTTCTGGGTCATGTGGCCAGCATGACTAAGCTGCTTCTGGCGAACCAGAGCAGCGCACGGAAACGCTGTTTACCTTCCCTCTGGAGTGGTACCTATTTATCTACTTGCACTTTGATGTGCTTTCGAACTGCTAGGTGGGCAGGAGCAGGGACTGAGCAATGGGAGCTCACCCCGTCGCGGAGATTCGAACTGCCGACCTTCTGATCAGCAAGTCCTAGGCTCTGTGGTTTAACCCACAGCAGCACCCGCGTTCCTCAGCTTCTCAGTAGCCTTCTCAAACTGGGATACCCAGAGCTGGACACAGGACTGCAGGTAGGGTCTGACCAAGGCAGAGTAGAGTGGTACTATTGCATTGGACACTTTATTTCTGTTGATGCAGCCAGGGATTATATTAGCTCGTTTTGCTGCAGCATCACACGGTTGACTCATGTTAACACATGGTGATGTGTTCGCAGCAGATCAACAAGGGTTTCTGACTCCCAGATGACCACAGCAGTGACATCCCCCACCCTCTAAATTGGGCTGCTGAAATAAGAGATACCAGGAGTGCTCAGTTCTGGTAACTTGTGGGAGAATCATGTAAGAAGATGTGCTCAGAGGCACCTTCAGTATCAAATCAAGGGAGAGATAGTACCTGCCTGACTCCCACTCTGAAAGAAGAAACCAAACCTGCTCTGCTCAAGCTGCAAGTGGGCTGTACAATTGTCCCTTGATTCAATACAAGTTTTTGTTGGGTTCGTTGTTCTCTCCATTGAAAGAGCGGGTCAGAGAGGGAAGCTGGTGATTTTATAAGTAGTGGGAAATTTCTTGAGTGTTCTAAAAATGGTGGGAGGGGAAGGCGAATCTGGACGAGCTGAAAGGCAAAAATAACAGGCTATTTGTGCATCCTGGCCTCTCTAGATGAGAGGTTGCGGAAACATTTTAAAAGGATATGTTCTCAACAAGATTATGATTCCCAAAGCTTTTAGCTATACAGGAAAGCTTTCTTGCTAGACCTAGCAATTTATGGCACATCTATGGTAAATAGCAAAAAAAAGGAGAGAGAAAACCAGCCAAACCCCAACCCTCTCATGATTAATCCCATTTTTATAGCTGCTGTGGGGCCTGCATAGGGGAGCCCAGCCTTGTCAAGTCCCTAATACATGATAATGAAGGGAGGGAGGTATAATTTAATTCCTGTGTCTTGAGGATATCCAATTCTGTGCTTTTCAATTGCCCTCCCCTCTCTGGACTCAATTGTAACTGAATAAACACAGCCAATAAAAACACAATTACAGAGATGGATGTGGATTGGGAGAACAGAAATTACTCTGTTAGTGTCAACGAGTCTTATAAGAATCACCCCTGATGTCTCCCATTTGAAAGGCCAATGGATGGGCAAGGAGGGAATGGCTTTCTGGATTTCCTCTTCTTGTTGTAAGTCTCTTTCCATGATAAATTCTTGTTTCGGGGGCTATGGTGGCTGTCTAAGACCATCCCCTCAAATGCATTAAGAAGCCGGGGGGGGGGGGGGAGAGAAGCCTTCTGAAAGCCAAACTCCTTTCAGATCTTCTCTGAAAGGAATCATCCCTCAGAAGGCCTAATTTATTTTAACTTATTCTCATATTGTGTTGTTACACTGTAGTAACCAGCCCTGGGGCTTCACAGTAAAGGGCAGGTGAGACATTGGACAAATAATAATAGATGAGAAGACAAGTGGAACCTGCAAGAAAAAGTTGCAGTGTGGCGTGTGCCAGCCAGCCATGCCCTCCGGCACAATACTCCATTCCGTTCCCTCTCTGAACTGTCAGTCAGCATTCTTCTGCAACTGAGCACATTCAGTCCTCACTGGGCTATTTTTAGGATTACCTTTAGGGTTCCCCCCCTCTAGTTCTTTTTTCCCCTGAGTCTGCTAACCACCACCCCTTCAGTATTGCTGATGGCGTTTCCACTATGGCACTCACACCTGAGTGGAAGAAGACAGAATGAAAGCAGTCAGTTGTTCAGCCTTGCTAACTAAATGGGACTCAGCTGCAACATACTTCTAACTCTGGAGACAAGGGTCAAAGAACAAGACATGACCTCTCTTGGAGTTCCCAGTGCCTAAGGCTGGCTGTATGAAAGAGACAGGTTGGTGCACTAGATGAGCCTTGGTCTGAGGCAATTCTCATTTTTACAGGTTGCAGGAAACGTCCAACACACTGGTCCCATTTAGTAGAAGAGACCCTGCAATGTTCTATCAACCAGTCAACACCACCAAACCATTGCAATTCTTGGATTTCATGGGGAAAGGCACTGCATAATTTCTATTAATATGCACGATGATTTCTATTAATATATAAAGTCAGCTATATCCAGGTTTGTGTTACACCCCAAAGACACAAAATGGAAGCAAGCACAATCAGTTAAAGCAAGACTTTGGAGACTCATTGAAGTGCAGAGAACAATCATGGCAACACTCTTGGTTCTTTCCATATTTCACATCATTCCATCTGGCCCCCTTTATTATATAAACACAACCCTGGAAGCTACGAGGAAGGGAGCACCCTCTCTGTAGCACCTTGTACCCGTGACACAGAGGAGTTCCCTGGAAATGTGAACAGTGACCTCGGCTTCAATGGCCTGGAGGAGGAGGAGCAGGTGGTGTTGCTGGGAATCTAACTCTCAAGTTGACCTAAACAATTGGACTTGCTGTCAAAGATGTGCAATTGCAACGCATTCAGAGAAAATAAAATGTTGAGATTCATAATTCAAACAAGAGGTTTCATGCACAGGCCTTGTGAGGTGAAACTCAAGTTCTGAAACCTAGAAATGGAATCAGTAGGGAACGCAAGGCCATTCGCCCATTGACCATTTCAGCTCCGAAAATTTCGATTTTGTGCATTATTCCCCGCCCCTTTTGCTTCAGCAGGAAACAAACCCAAGATCAGCACACAGAGTGACCTTGCTTGTTCTTACAGTGCAATGGACAGGATCAAAGAGGCAGCTCTCCAGGAAGCGCCGAGGGACCCTTCAGGAGGTTCAATGCGGCAACTTCGCAGTCTGTGTAACTGCGGTGAAAGCAACACACCACCTGCCACTCCGATTTCACTTAAACACAAGTTTGGCTTGATCCAGAGATTTAAAAAGCAGAGGCGGAAGCAGCCCAGATATGCAAACGCAGCTTTGGCATAACCTGCCCTGCCTTGGCTGGACACAAATGGGAATGACTCATGAGACTGGCAGGACAAGCACAACAGAACAGCTACCCGCCTCCTTAGCTTGGGAACAAAGAGCAACAAGAGCTTCAAGGATGGAAGCCCCGAGAGGAGAGCCACAGGCAAAGAGGAAGGCCAGCTTTTAGGGCCGAGGCCTTGTTCTGGGGGGCAGGGCAGGGACCCCGGGAAGCAGCAATTCTAAAGATGCTGTTTGTGTGCAAGCAGCCCTTTCTGTTCCAGGGCAGTCGTCACCAGTGCCTCTCTTTCAGATACGCAGCAATGAACATAATGTGCCTTGGCATAAAAGAGCCAGCGGCTTCCCGTGTGGGTCAAAGACGGGGCAGCCTGCAACAAGGGGAAGAACAAAGCCGCCTTTTGCCTTTGGGGAGGGGCTCTCTTGGCTGCAGACCACAGAGGCAGCAGTGCAGGGAGGGAATGGGCAGGAGGCAACTGGTAACGCTGTGGTTCCTGAACCCACCAGAGCTTCACTCCTCAAGGTCTCATGGCTGCTTGTCTTGCACGCTCAGCTGAATCATTACAAAAAGGCACCAAAGAAACCCTCACCCAGTAGAGTCTGATGTGTCTTTGTATTTTTTTTTTTAAAAAAATCATTAAAAATATACATTTTATAAAAAAAATCAAATAAATCTGGTGTTAACAACATGTACCCCCCTCTTTTCTTTTACAAAGCTGCAGAACAGCATCCCAGCAACTGAGGGAGGGGTCGGTTGGTTTCCTTTATATGGAAAGACGCTTTTTAAAGAAATGACAGAAGTGTTGTCCAACTAGCGCGTTCTCCCCACTGGTTCACAAATGCTGCATTCATTTCATGGACCCTCTTCTTCTTGCTGGCAGTTTTTCCTTTTCTTTCAGATTCACAAAGGACATTGGCACATGCAACCAACAAAGGAGGAACCAGACCCACAATAAGCGCAAAACGGACACCTCGTCAGGCCTTCCCCCCCAGCTGTTTCAACTAACGCAGCCCAGATGTTGTTGGACCACAACTCCCATCTGCCCCAGGCAGAGGGGTGGAAACTGTAGTCCACAAGATCTGGATGGCACCAAGACTAACCCTTTTTTGGTGCTTGTCAGCTGACATGTCTGACAGAAACCCTGGAGAGGGGAATATCTTTAGGAGCACAAGAAGCTCAACTGGAACAGAACAGAAACGAAGGCGAGAGAGAAGGCTGATCACAAAACCACCAGGAGTGAACCTCGCAGGCATACAGGAAAGACATGACATTGAGACGAAGTGATTCGGCTGGTGCTTCTAAGGCAGAAGCAGCAAAGAGTGCCTGTGTGTGTGTGAGAGAGAAACCATTCTTAAAAGTCCCCCCAGCCTCCTAATTCACCCAGATAACAGGAGAAGGGAAGAGTGTTTGGAAGGCAGGATGGTTTCGGCTTCAAATTACATCACGACGGGGCCACCAAGTTTCCACAAGAACAGATATCATCTCCTTGGCTTGAGAAAGGAAAGTGGGGGAAAGAGAGGAACACATCGCAAGCTGCTTCCAAAAGCAGCGTTACAAAAGCATTTTTGTTTATTATCAATTAAAAAATCCCCTTAAATCATATTCCAAAGTGGTTAAAATTGCCATCATTTGTGTGTGATGGGGTTTCTTTAAGAAGGAGGAGGAGGGGAAAAGAAAAATCAAAGCAAGTTCATCTGGGTCAGCTCCATGTCTTAAAGAGTTGATTGTCTTGGGAGGGGAAAAATAGAAGAAGACATTCACATGTACATCCATTCTACCCTGATAAGAGATTTTTTTTTTTACCCACAGTTCACTGCACCTGCCACGCATACAGTCATCCGGTTGGGTTGGCGGTTGCCCTGAACTCAGCTGGCGGCTGAGTTGGCGTGGCTGATTTCCCCTCCTTTCCCTTCTCCCCCCCCAAGTGTCAGACGAAGGAGGAGAAGCCGGTCACTGGAGTCCGTGAGCCTGGCGCAGGCTGTCCTGTCGGGGTGTACACCCCTCCTGAGCTCTGTGTCGTGATGACAGTCTGGAAGTAAGGCTCGGCCTCGCTCGCCACACACTCCTCATACCGGTATGGCGCCGGGTGCTTTGTGGTCTTTGGCTGGCGCTTCCAGGAGTTGTAGTACGTGGGGTCGCTCATGTAGTGGTTGACAAAGGAGTGCTTGGGCAACTCGTCCTCGTAGTCCGAGTCCGTCGCCTGCAGGTTTCAAGAGAGAAAAGGTCTGTTAGTGTCAGAGACCAGACTGAGGATTACAGCTCCAAAGAGGAATGGTGGGAAGAAGAAGAAGAGTTTGGATTTGATATCCCGCTTTATCACTACCCTAAGGTGTCTCAAAGTGGCTAACAATCTCCTTTTACCTCCCTCCGCCACAACAAACACTCAGTGAGGTGAGTGAGGCTGAGAGACTTCAGAGAAGCGTGACTGGCCCAAGGTCACCCAGCAGCTGCATGTGGAGGAGCGGGGAAGCGAACCCGGTTCCCCAGATTACGAGACTACCGCTCTTAACCAGTACACCACACTAGAACCTCCCCCTCTTCCTGCTCCTGTCCAGGATCCTGAGGCTGCCTAGGAATAGTGGATCAGTATAGATTTAGAGAATTGGTTTGCAGAGGGGCATAGTTCAGAAAACAACAGCTGGGCAGAGCCAAGTGGGGAACATCTAGAAGAAGCAGAACAGGAAGAGAGAGAGATATAATGGACTCCCCTTCGCTTGACACTGTCCAGCCTCTCTCTCCAAAGGCAAGGAGAGCTGATAAGGTTGCAGAAGGTTCAGTGGTTGCGAGATCAGGTTGCAAGAAGGGGGAAGTGACGAAGATAACTTGGGGAGGGGGAGTAGGAGTGAAGCACCTTTATTCAGAGAATAGCTGTGTTGTTCTTTTGCTCTGATCATTAAACACTCTTAAACTGGTAAGGGACTCTAATTGCTTTGTTCTGCTGATGCACGGACAAGGGGGGGGGGCGGGAGGAAGCTATTTCTCCAAAGCCTGACAGTTAGTGACGGATGCTATTTTCACCCACTGGTCCATTGAGCAATATCTGGTGGGAATGCACACTTGTGCAATTATTTTGGAAAACGGTCTTGTTACGGGACGGGCAATGCAACCTCATCCGAGGCTGGCTATAGTCGATCTGATTATAGGTGACCCTAAGAGATTATTTCTCTTCAACATTTTGCTTCCATGCCCTTCCAATTTGCTTGCCTGGCCCAGATTTATTATATCATGCCCCATGCAATGACTGCTGGCCCCTTTCCTTTATTGGATAAAATTCATCTGCTTCCTTGTTGTTGCTGATGTAGAACATTTCCCCCATGCACAGTTTTTTGTGTGGTTTTTTTACTTGAGTACAACACAATTTAAATAAAAATATACTATGCCATACTTTCAAATAAACGAAAAGCCTCCCCTCCATACCAACTCAATCAGGGTTTAGCTTCTCTTGTGCAGAGGATCTGGCCTGTGGCTTAGATCTGCTGGCTGCCCACCCTTCCCAATTAACAGCCCCCAAACCCACAGGGAGGAGGAAGGTACCTCAACCATCTTCAATTTATGGCAAGGCCAGTTCTGACCCTGGCTCAGGGCGATTGCTATTTATCTGTCGGGAGAAATTCAAAGGTCCAAGGATTTCATTTATTATCTTTAAATGCAACATTCTGTATTTTAGCTGTTTCTTAAAATGCATTTGAGAACCCTAAACCTTGCAGGATACAGTTTGAAATGCATAAAATCAATTCACACTTTGCAGCTGCCCATATAATGAGAAATTCCATGTCCTGTTTTTCAGCAGTGGATTTAGGTAAGAAGCTGCATGTTATCCATGTGAATATTTTTTTTTGGGGGGGGGAGTGAGACACGGGGGGTGGGGATTGAATGGAACAAGGTAGGGGAAATCCAGAATGAGAGCAGGTATGCAAACTGCACATTAGGAAAGGCACGCTGGCTAATTAGGAAAGGTAATGAAGAAAAGTATTTGACCATCCAAAATATGAAGCTTATTGAAAAAAGCTCCACAATATTTTACATGTGTTAACAAAAAATGATGGTACTGATAACAATAATCAGTATAGTCAAGAGATTATGAATCTAGTACCTATTTAAGCATAAGCCTTAATCGTGGAACTGGTCAAAAATACGAGGCAGGCAAAATGACATTGTGGGTGCAAAATGGGGATTTTGCTTAACAGTGATTCCAATGAACATGCCAGCAAATTGCAAGGACAGTCAGTCACATGCATCAGATGGAGACCATTGTCATTTTTCGAGCTGCCTTAACCTGTGGGGGCTTCCCATCTTGAGGATGTACAAATAACTTCAGAAATGAAGGATGTTGACATAAGTGAGCAGTTGTGGCCTTTGAATTGTCCCACCGCATGGGGAATGCATTCCCAATTCCCTCTTGAAATCAGCCTTTAAGATTCCGGGCTCTCCAAAATTAAAAACCACTAGGAGAGGGAAATGGTCTTAAATGCCACCTTATGTTGTCAAGGACAGACTAATGCTCCTAGGGCGAAGATCACACCTAAAAACCTATCATTAACCCCTTGCTTTTTCTCCTCTTTAGACAGGCTCTCCTCTCTCTACCCTGTTGACCTTCTGATACAGTATATGAAGACAACGACTCCGTGGGCACACACATCCTCCCCCCAATGTGTCAAAAAGACCTCAGGAAAACCATCACATCCTGCTATGCTCCATCAGAAATAACCTTCCATTATTAGGAGGCATATAAATAAGGAGAATTATTTATGTGTGTTATTTATATATTGCCCAACAACCAAGGGCCTCTGGGAGGCTTACAAGGTAATAAGGAATCCAGCCAAGCAGAAATAAAATGGAACGAGGGGTGCCAATTTCCTTCTCCCCTTCCTTCTTTACATAATGTTGCATGTCGCCTCCATCTCTGAATGGTATTGTTTTACCAGGGTTTGGCTTCCTTGACATGAAGGACAACAGAGACTGTGGTGTCTTTGTGATATACGGTTTATTTACACATATCTACAACCTGAGCTCAATACGGATGGGCTCACAGCATTAACACCCCAAGAGGGTCTTCCTTCCCCTCCAGCTACAGCCTTGGATTCCACCAGAGCTCATGCATGGCTCTGTCTCCCAGCTGCCCAGCCCAGAAGGAGGGGGCCCATCCATTTGGCTTCTGGCACAGAGCCACTCCCTTTGTTACCTTGATTCAGGAACTGGAACTGGAAGGGACTCATGCCTTCAGCCTACTCCCACCTCCCAAACTCACAGGAATAGGAAGCTGCCTTAGACCGAGTCAGACCCTTGGTCTATCTAGTTCAGTATTGTCTACACTGACTGGCAGCAGCTCTCCAGGAGTCTCTCCCCTGCTACCTGGAGATGCTGAGGGCCTTCTGCTTGCGAGGCAGAGCCTGTACAGCTGAGCTGCGCATGGGGTCTGCACACCCTCCTTACAAAATGCACGCTGGGATGCTTTAGAGAAAGGCAAAATATAATGCATAAAATGGACCCAAGCAAGCAAGCAAGCAAGCAAGCAAGCAGATAGATAAATAGATAGATGATGATAGATAGATAGATAGATAGATAGATAGATGATAGATAGATAGATACAGACAGACAGACAGACTGACTGACTTCTCTGGAAGAAGACCAGCTGAGTGACCTGTCCACCAGCAGACACTGTGGGAAGCGACCCCTTGGTCACAGCCACCTCTGTGATCCCAGCATGTTGGGAGCGGAAATGTAAATCAACCTTCTTCTGAAACATGGAGGAAGGCAGAGCAAGGAAGGTGGTGGCCAGGTCTGTGAAGGTGGCCGGTTATGGGCAGCAGTCGGCACAGGAGACAATGGGGCGATCCAAAAGGGCCAATGTGTCTCCAGCCTTCCCTGGTGTGTCTGAATGTTTTAAATGCAGCCGCAGCTAACAATTGCCCAGCGCACCATCTGGAACTCGGTGGGTTCTGGGAAAGGCAATCCTGGCGCTCTTAACTCAGGGGGACTCTTGAAGTCTGTTCCTCCCCCCGCCTCCCCCCCCCATTATTACACAAATTGCTCCTCCAGCAGGATTATGCTTTAGAGTGGACATATTATTTTTAATGATTCAAAACTATTGACAAAATGGAAATGCTGCAGGGCCGCCGTCTCCTCGGCTGCGCGGCAGGCAGGCCACTCCTCTGCCGCATCTGCAGGCCGGTTGCCCAGGCAACGGCAACGGCCTTGAATCTGAATGGGTGCACCGCTAGATTAGAAATTGACAAGCAAAGGTGTGCGGATGCCTGGGAAGCAACAAAACAGAGAAAATGCCTGACAATTTAAAGTATTTTTTTATTGGCGAGATGAAAGAAACAAACGCTATTAGGGGGACAAATTAGGGACTAGCCGGCTAGTTTAGTCTAAGGCCGGCATTACATGGAATTTAAAAACAGTTGTGGCTGTCAAATTTCTTTTGAAAATGGCTGGAGAAAAGGAATTGTGTGCATTTATTTATAGCTGGCGGCGGAGGGAACAGCCCCGTATATCCATGAGCTTTCAAAAGACTGCGGTGGAAATACGCCCAACTCTGCCGGGGGTCTCAAGGAGGGTGGGAAGGGGCTGCCAAGTCCTAAGTGGGCCCTGCCTTTGTCCGCCTCCCTGTTCTGACTGGCTCGCTCTGCATCCTCTCTGTTCCAGTAGGAACAAATTATCTGCTAGTTAGTCGCAGAAGAAGAAAGGGTCTTGTGGCTCCTGGAAACCTGTATGAGTCTTAAAGGGGCCCATGAGTCAACTGCCTGTGTGTCTGCTTTGGGGGACAGAGTGGTCATGCTGTGGGCAGAAGGTCCCAGGCTTGTAAAACCATACACCTGTAGAGGACACCAAGGGTCATCTAGTCCAGTGTTTCCCAACCTTGTGCCTCCAGCTGTTTTTGAACTACAACTCCCATCATCCCTGACTAGCAAGACCAGTGGCAAGGGATGATGGGAATTGTAGTCCAAAAACAGCTGGAGGCACAAGGTTGGGAAACACTGATCTAGTCCAACCCCCTGAACTGTGGGAATCACAGCTAAAGAACCCCTGACAGATGGCCACCCAACCTCTGGTTAAAAACATCCAGCGAAGGAGAGTCCACCACCTTCTGAGATTGTCCGTTCCAATGTCAAATGGAAGCTCTCCCTAATGTTTGGTTGGAATTCCTTTCCTTGCAATTTTAATCCATTGATTCGGCTCCTACAGAAAAAAAGCTTGCTCCATCTTTCAAGTGATGGAGGTGGCCAGGGCTGGATTTAGGTTTGATGAGGCCCTAAGCTCCTGAAGGTAATGGGGCCCTTTATATGTCCAGCTGTCCTTCATCAACAACAAATTGTTGCTGTTTTTCATGTCAAATACATGCTATATGGTAATTTATGGACCTAATAGGTATCTCAAGCCATTTGCACATAACAAAATAAGTATTTTATCAAAGTAATTGTTGAATTGAAATACAATTAAGCAGAAGTATATTCATAGTGAAATTTTTTGGGGGCCTCCAAGAGAGCGGGACCCTAAACTATAGCTTGTTTGGCTTATACATAAATCCGGCACTGGAGGTGGCTATTCTATCACCTCTAAGTCTTATCCAGGCTAAGCAGATCCAACTCCCTCCCAGACCCTTGATCATCTGCACACCTTCCAGCTTGTCAATATCCTTCTTAAATTGTGGCACCCAGAACTGGACACAATACTCCAGGTGTGATTTGACCAAGGTAGAAGGGAGTGGTACTATTGGTTCTCTTGATCTGGACACTAGACGTCTGCTGAATCTCTGGCACCTGCAGGTAGGGATCGGAAAGTGACTCCTGCCTCGAACCCTGGAGAGCAGCTATCAGTCAGTGTGGACAGCAGTGAGCAAGATGGACCAATGATCTGACTCACTATAAGGCAGCTTCATGTGTTCCTATTTGGGCAAGCGCTCTCTCTCACTCTCACTCTCTCTCTTGTCTCTCTCTCTCTCGTCTCTCAGCTTTTTGCTCTGTATGGCTTTTCTAGCAGTGTGGAGGAAAAAAAACATTATTTATGCAAGTGACTTGACCTCATTAAAAGCCTTTATTTATGTTGGAGGGCGTCCAAAACTTTCAGCTTAACAGCCATGCTGCTTAAATAGGGTCACAGGAGGTCAGTGTGGGTTCAGGGCACAACTATGTGTTTGCTTCAGCAAATATATGTTTTCGACCCCATGGCTGAGGAAGGCATGGGGTGGGGTTGTAGGGAGAAGAGGCAGGCGAGGGGGTGCTGGCACTTCCTCACTTCTGCCAGTTCTCTTGTGAAATGCAACCCTCGGTGTCCCCCTCCCACCCCATCGGGTGTTCTCTGGTCTCCATGCCTGGCTAAATGGAGGATGGGTTAAGGGGAAGGGGGATTCTGTAGAGGAGAATTGGGCAAGGCGTTAAACTGCCTTGGCTTGCCAGGTCTCTCTTGCAAACGCTCCACCCCTCAAGTGCAGGTCTGTTTTGGAATGTGTTCACCTGCTCTCGAATAAACAGGATTTTGGAGGATGTCACTCCCACTTTCAATGGGGGTGTCTTTGCTACACCCCAGCTCCCCAGCGAAAGAGGACACAGGTGGTATTGCCCGTGGCAGGAGTTGGGGGTGTTCACATGGCTATTGCAGCCTGTTAGGTTTGAGAGGGTAAAGGCTATATTAGGCTGCTCCTCCCCCAACTTTCCACTGTAGTGCCCTCCTTTCCTAAGCAAGATGGACTTTTGCTAGCTCCCTGTATTTGGGGGGTTGGACAGGAATTTGGGGGGAGCCCTTGATTGGCCTTTGGACTCTGCCTATTGATAGGGCTGGCCCTTCTGCAGACCCAAGCAAGCAGTGTTGGGGGAAAGTGTGTATGTATCTAAGGCCTGCCCTACTGCCATAATCCAGCCCCCGCCCTCCACTCACACCTGCCCTTCCAAGCGCACGAGCTGCTCGTACTGTGGATTTGAGCACTGGAGTGTTTCACTTCAGTGGCCAGTGATAGATCCAGGGCTCAAATCTACAGCATGAGCCGCTCGTGTGCTTCGGAGCCAGGCTGCAGCAACCACAGCATCAGTCACGGGGACGTGCGTGAAAGCAGGTTGCCTCTCCATCACGAGCACAGCTGCAACATCTTAAAGCCTGGGGATGAAGATTTAACGGGAAAATGTATCGAGATGATTTTGGCCTTGGCTGCCTCGGCATTTGATGGCATCCTGTACACAGGAAGTTTTATCAAAGGGAAACGGCCCTTTGACAAGCTTAAATAGGCTCGGCTGCGCACGGAAGAGCATCTGGCCAAGTCCTCCTAAGAAATGAGGTGCTTCGTCCCCTACATCCTGCACAACATCTTCCCCCGGTGAAGACGGAGTGGTTGAAATCCTCGGGTAAGCAAAAGCTCATCTCCTCGGAAGCCTTAGAATAACAAAAGCTGAAGGAAAACAACAGCCACCACCCTAAAATGGCACCAGGAAAGATAATAGAATGAGATAAAATTGATGCACCACACACACACAAATATGGCTAAAGCCATTTTTCCACGATGATCAAAAGAGCCTGTCACCTCTGAGCGTGTCCATTAGTATTTTCTCCAAGTGCACACTGCTGGAAACAGGCAGGCATCAAAGGGCCAGTGGAGACTGATTGGATATCAAAGCTCTGGAGGAAAATGGGGGCCTCATTTTGCCTGCCACAAAAGCTGGCCTGTGCCTCAGCTGCGAGGCTCTGCTAGGAAGCCCTGGGCTCCGTATGCTTGACATCAAGGGCAAGGAAAGAGCGTAACGAGAGAATGGATAGACTCCGGCGACCTCTGCGTCCACCGCGCCTGCATGCAGGAGTTGCCTCGGGCAGGAGATGGTCATTATGCACTATCAGGAACCGGCACATGGAACTCCTGACATGAATAACAAAAAGCGGCATGGCGACATTCATATTTATGCCCAGCACGCTCCGCTAATGGCAGGTTTAATTCCAGGTTGTCAAAGGGAGAGGAGCAGAGCCACTGGGAGTATAATCTC